TCCATCAAGTAATCCAGCAGACTTAAGTTAAAATCGGCAAGACTTTTCCAACAGCGACAGGACTTTTCCAACGTGTCGTATTCAAAGCTCGTCCCAGTCTCATTGCATTGAACAACGAAAAGCGCTTGGGTCGATATTTTCACACATCGTTACCGTCACACTTGTCATACTCGCGCTTACTGGCCTATGATCATGTCGAAAACGCCACAGTCATGTAGATTCTTTGGGTATTTTTGGTCACAACCCAGTCGTACGACTCCCGCCGGGGTGCCACTCTCGCAACAGTTAACGACGATGGTACCAACGACTACTCGGAAAGAGTTACACAATGATCTAAAGAAGAAAACAAATAGACCGAGGAATCCGATGGAATACTGCAACGGGCAAGACACAGTTCTCGGCCAGGTTAACCGGAGATACTGACAAAAAACACCGAGGTTTGACCTGCATAACTCACTTCAACTGACATCAGAAAACGTCATATTGCCAAACATTGCCGCAGTCAAGGCTTCTCTCTTAGTGTTATCCGAATAATGTTTTTCCTCTTTTTCGGTGCTATTGTAGATCAAAATGATCGGAGACGTTTTAAATGTCTTGGACGTTGAAAATAATCTTTATAAGAACCATATTTATGCATGCTGCTATATGTACTTAACACATTAAAACCACGAGCTTTCGCGATCTCGTTTGCCGGTTTAAAATAGACACGCAGAATCAGCCGAAGAGGCTTGGACAGTGCCTCAGCCAAGGATTTGTGTTCATCGGCATGCTTTGCCAAATTGTTGTGTTCTTCCAACATACATGTACAAGAAGGCTGTTTCACATTGCTATCATGTTCTCTTTGTGGTGAACAAGAAAGTAGAAATGCCTAGATCTTCCCTCAAGCTGACACTCCTCATGCTGGGTGAGACCAAAATCCTTGATTTATCCCCCCCTTCCTAATTAGGCCCTAACGTATACGACGAGCATCCCCGACCTTTTCATATGGGGAGTCCCCCCCGGGGGCAACAACAAGTGCACACCTAAAGACGCTTAAGTACAGTTAATCCTCCCACACATCAAATCAAATCAAATCAATCTTTATTTGTACTCATTCTTGCTGAAGAAAAAAAAATTACAATTTCAATGAAAATATTAAAAGCAAAATTTGAGTACTAGCTGCCTGGAATAACCATAAGGGCTAGCGGAGCCAGGCAGCCAAAACGTTAACATCGAACTGTTAACATTTAACTGTTAACAGAGTTGTTAGGTGGGTAGAACCAGTTGTACAGTACTATTAATGTATACGCTAATAATCATTTTAAGGCAGTAACCGTTTTCAATCAAGCTACATTATGCATTCTTTCAGAACTCAGTAGCAAGCCAATAGAACTCAATACTCCCGAGGATATATGGAAGAAAAACAAGGAATTTGTACCCTTGCTTGCAATTGTCGCCGTATTACTAAGGTTATACAAATTAACTTTAACAGTACTGAACTTCGATTTTAGCGGATCGGAACTGCATTATTTTTCAGTGTCACAAGCCATGACTGCGTCATGCCTCTTTCAAAGCTTCTAATTAAAGTGAGGCTAATTTCCCTAAATGTAAACTGAAGTGACTTGTAAAACGTGCAATTATTCTTCACATCAAAACGTCTTTCAAATTTAGCATCTGGTATCTGACTTCGGCTTGCCACTGCATTTAAGTTAAGGATAAGTTCAGCTCATATTGTTCTGTTAAGAGGCCAAGGTTGTCAGTGGGCTTTAGAAGCCACAGGCCCCATATAACTTATTTCTACACAATTGGTAAGGCTTCACTGTCAAAAACAACCACGTTTAAATTTCAGGCCTTTTTTCCGACTCACATCTCTAAATTGCTAAGCTCCCGCTTCTAAAAAAGCAACAGTACTTGCAAAAAAATTCAGACGATTTTAATTTTGGACGTGTGTGTGCGAAAATAAGACTATCCGACTTTGAGCGTCCGAAATGTTTAGCGTCCAAAATATTTACAGTACAGTCAGTATTTAATTTTTAAACAGCTCCAAAGGTCTCAGTTACCCTTATGCCGAGCTTTAAGGAGCGAACTCTAATCGAGACATTGAATGAGATACTTAACGGCTTGAGAGAATTTTTTGCCATTTACTCGTCGGTGTATCTTCATAAACCTGAGGGAGAAGTTAACTATCGTTTTCACAGTTGTTGTTCCAGTCTAGTTCGTATTTTTACGTGTAAATTTACTTTAGCAATGTTTCAGCAAGGTGTCCGAATTTTTTACGATCCGAAATTTGTCCGAATTGAGAAAAAAAGTGTCCGAAAATTAAACTGGCGTCCAAACTAAAATTGTCCGAAATTTTTTGCAAGTAGTGTATACATAATATTCAGTCGCACTTTACAAACGGAAGAATATTAGTTCTATTTCAGTTCATTTATAAAATGATTGCTTTCTTCTCTATCGGTTTTGCTCTGGACGACATGCCCATTCCATCGGCCACGCTTCTGGCTTTTCTTTTTCTGGGCCCTTCCGGTTGCATCACACTGTACGCGATGGTACACGCCATGCTAATCTCAACCAGACGAAAACTTGACTGGAAAGCCAACCACGGCCAAGGGGAAGGATGGACTACTGTGCTGTACATACCATATACTCCTAACATGGAGTAAAACTGCAACCCGCAAACGGCGATGCCCAAGAAGCTGGTTCCAAGCGTGATCTTGGCCACTTTAGTCGTGCTGTGTCTTTGCTGTTTGTTCCGCAGGTGCGCCCTTCTCTCGATAGCACTGAGTTGCTCCTGGACGTTTTCCACGTGGTTTATCAGCTTACATCCGCTGTAGATGAAGCTGCCAGAGAGCAGCAGGCCCCAGAGAATGAAGAACGACTGGCACACGATCAAAAGCGCGTCCAATTCTGGCTTGATGGACGATGATGTCTCCGCGGTGAAGACGATGATGAAATGAATTATTATGACGCCAGATAAGAATTTCAGACTTTGCAGCTTGCTCGAGGCTATTCTCATCTTTGTGACCTCAAGAAAAGCCAGGTGAATCAAACAAAACGCGGATGTTAAACACGGGTAGGCGATTCCAAAGAGAAGTAACGTCAGCCATTTTGGATCTTCCACGTCATTTTCTCTGGACTCGTACGGATCCAACAACAGATACACAGCTCTGGTGGCACCAAGGGTAAACAACAGCGAGTTGATAGCAATAAACAAAGGTTTACGACCAAAACCTTTTCTTTTCGTCACTCGCGCTACAGCAATTAAGGAGTGAATCGCTAGCAAGCCAAATAGAGCACCGAAGCCAATCCAATGCAGCTCCCATGCCAATCCCCAGATTGTCTTCGCAACTGGCCAATCCGGGCCGGGCTCGGCTAAAGCTTCCGAGTACGTGGGTTTTTCAACAGGTTTAATTGTTGAGGTCGACATATTCATCTGCGTGAATTAAAAATTGAGATATTAATATAATTCCTTGACTATTATATATTGCAGTCTGAATTGAGACCTTTCTTCTTAAAAATATTATTTCAGTCATTAACCATGCATTTACAAGAATAACAAGGCTCTAAAAAATAGGAATTGAAAATCAAGAAAAATTAGATTTAGGAACTTGATCTTATCGAAATATTAGCTGCGCACTCACAAATAAAGAATTGGGAGTAGGCAAATAAAAATAGTGAATAATTTTAATCTTGTGATGTACAACTCGATAGGCACGTTAAATGTTATTATTTTCAGCAGTTGACAGGGATCCGAATGTACATATGTTTACTATTTAGACTAAACTCAAGTTCATCACAGCGAGGACATATCAAGACATTCATTAGAAATGATTGAATTACTGTAACGAAAAACTTGTAAATATTATGTTTTGAAAATTGAATTGCTCTCTAAAAGCAAAAATGAATTCTAGGAAGGAGATTTAGAGATTAGTTTGCAAGTCTCTGTAAGATTTACTTACCCTTAAGACGCTAGTTCACGATGTCATGTGAGAAAGCCACTCGAAAGAACTGTGTATTTCTAATGTATTCATAAGTTCAGTTCATTTTTCTGTTCACATCATGATCATTGGATGTTTATGACATGAAGAATGGTCGGATGTAACTAAAAAAGCTTGAAAAATCCAATTACAGTTTTGCATAAATATTTCATGGCATATCATATAACGCGAAAAAATGACTCAGCGAGCATCTTCCCCCGTTAAATAAATCTTTGATGACTCATTTACTTTTTAAAACTTCAGGAGGCGTATCTGTTACAATAGCTGGGCCAACAAGGTTTTTGAAAATACGAACCTGACGTTTGGTGATACAGGAAGTCACTACCAATGTTTTGTGCCACTGACCCACTAATATCACCTCAGTGATTAACTTTGCACCTTCATGAACTTATCACCTGAAGCAGTTTATAAATGCCAATATCATGACCTTTGAAGAGGTCGCTACGCAACAAACACAGTTGCAGGAGTGAAGTTGAAGTCAATAAAAGCAAGGTTCCCTCTTTTTCTATTGAATTTGCCTGTTCTTTTCATTTATAATTAGATATATGCGAGAGCAACTAAAGGAAAGCTTTGCGCCTAAACCATCTCGAATTTTTCGAAGTAATCCTACCGAAATAAGTGTGAATGAACCAAAAAAGCAATAGATCAATATGTGTGTTTCCAGTCAAAACATTACCCAAGCTGAAAATAATACGAAGATCCAAGAAAAGACACATGTCTTAGAATAGTAAAACATTCAATTCGCGTTGTACTTAGTAATTTCCTTATTTCCTCTGATCGATACAAGTTTTACGACAAAGAAACAAAGAAGTCACCAAACTCAGTTCTAAATTTAGACTTGACGATTACGTTTGAATACATTCAAATAGAAGCAGGTGCGATGGTCTTTTAAAAGTGTGAATAAGAGTTGCTAAAAGTCTTAAGTAGTCACTCTCGATATATATTAGAGGAAAAAATGAAACTTTTCTCGGTCTTAAGACCTCAAAGTGGTTCTTACAAAAAAATATTCCGCACTCGATACGTTCTTGTTTAATTTGAGTTGGCACAAAAACTATGATTTTAGGGGTTAGTGTGTGCATCTTACGTCTAACTAAAATTTTCATTATCAAAATTATATAAGAGTTTCTAAGTTATTGAAACCAGACATAATATTGGCTGTAAATTTAAGATGTGTTGCACCCAAATAGCTTCTGTCGATCAGAAGCAGACGAGCGAGGAAGGAGAGCAACATCTGTTCTCCGCGAAGAACCAAGCACTCAGGAAAAATTCAGTTGCTGCGCTCGCTCAAAAAGCAAAGATTTTACTCACCATTACGGTTCAAGATAGAGAAATTTTAAGTCCAACTTATCTCCTTTTGGTAACAAAGGTTGCCGATTGGCGATCTCAGCTAGCTAAGACGTATAGTGTATTTCATACAATAACAATAACGTGTCAGTTTTCTAATAGCAATATTGGACAATTATTGACATGTAAACATCTCCATCATGCACGGAGAAAAAGGAGATACAACCGGAATATGCGCTGCTTAACACACGATATTAGGTAAAACAAGCTAAAACACGTACAGATACAGATATTAAGTTTGGCCGTTTCCAAAAGCCTCCGCTTTGTCCACTAAAAGTAAGCATTCATTTTTTGTAAGTCAACTGATTTTGTAATAATTTTGTCTATTTAAAACTTTAACTGGCCTTTCTCCCAGGGTCAGCTGCGTTAGGTCATCGAACAGGAAGAGTGGGCAATTTTTCATCTGCTGAGGGCGATTGTCACGACGGCACTAAAGCCTATGACACTGCAATTTCACCTACACGGAAACCTCTGATGACACCTGCACTGATGAATTGGAAAGGAAGACGGAGAGTTCTATATTGGTCTCAGCAACGTTCCAAGAGTTCTTTGGTAAGTTGGGCAATTTTGGTAGAATTCAACAGAATTCTAGGCCATAGAAACAACCCACTATATAGATTTTAAGAGCCAGTGCCCATAACTATGGACCAAACAACGGCACAAGTCGAAAAATCGATTTTGCTCATT